TCTCCAAGTCAGGAACATTCATATTCAGTGTCACAAGAAACCTTGGTGTAAGAGTAATTGTTTATTTAAAGGACAAAGACAAGTCAAAGTAATAAGTTAGGAGTGTTGACATGTTAGGAGAGGATGTCTTTTTGGAAAAGATGTGTGTTTAGGAGATTCTCGAAGGAAAAGATTGACGACCATCCTCTGTAGCTTCGGTAGTTTATTGTTTTTCCCATAACATTGAGTTTGAATGGGAACAATGTGGACAACAGCCATGTGCATAAAGATGAAAGGATGAGGATTCTATGTGATCAAGTTTAGATTTAGGCACAGGTCCAGTTTGTAAGCATGTGATAGTGGTTTTGTTTTGGGCAACGTGAGTGCTGGAATGACGTGTCCTTTTTGGTTCTCAAACACCAGAAGGTCCACCACATTCTGAACMATCTGTAGGGGTTTCACTGAGCCTGACGAAACATTTCAGTCCTTAAGAAGTGAGATAACCGTGGCCTGTGCCCAGAGTTCGAGTGGCATTTTGGTTTTGAGGGARCCTGATATTTTCTAATGAAGTGTAAAGTACAAAAACAGCTGTAACATCATCCAAACATTAGAATAACTGATGATCACCTGGATTTCCTTTGGGCTGGGAAGATAAAGCACAATATTTTCTTGATTAGATGTGCATTCCTAWAAGAATTTAGATGTCCCCTTCAGCGATATGCACATGCTGATTTCTTCTTGCTTTCAAACTCTGGTCAGAGAGGAATTCTCCGTTCAGTGAATTTCTGCAGCTGAAGGGTTTTCTTCTYAAGCCTAATACACCTGAGACGTGCCAGAAAAACATTAGTCAAGTCTGTAGACGTTTAATGAATTTTTTTCCCTGCTGGATAAGGATGGAAGAAGCTACACACAACAGCAACATTGATTTTTGATTTACTGTAAATGTAAATAAACAATGGCTGAAAGTAGACTTTGTACTCTTTAGGTAAATAATTATTTTACACACTTTTTTTTATTATTATCTTACCTCATGCCCGACTCCCTACAAACAGCTTAGAAACCTTGGTTGACGTAAGATGAGATAAGGGTTAAATATCACCACATTTAATCTACTGATGATGTCTTTATTGGCTGTTAATGCTGTGCTCTTTTTTTTTTAATTAAAACAAAAGAAAATGCCAAGCTCAGATGCTTGAACATGTGGGAATGTGTTTGTTAATGCTGTATATTAAGTCTGGAGTGATGTATGCTTTATAATATAACTTTTTTTATTTTTTTTTATTAAGATGAACTTCTAGATACGATTTTGAAATGGTTCAAAGTTGTTTATTTTGATGTTTAGGTACAAAACTTACCTAAAAGTACCAAATATTCATTCATTCATTCATTCATTCATTCATTTATTTATTTAGCTACTATTGATATTGTCACATCGCAACATACTGTTGTGTGGATTGATGTATGTACATGCTGCTACTACTACACCAGAATTTCCCCGCGCGGGACGATAAAGGCTGTTTCTATTCTATTCTATTTTCAATATAAGCCTTCAGTCAGTAGTTATTTTTAACTTCACAATATAAAACTTCCACTTTCAGGCTTTATTTCCTGCTACATAAACTTTTTGCCTTTTAAAGCCTAATCCTCTCAGTACTGAGTATTTAGTCTTTCTCCTTAATAGATCTAAAATAAGGTTTTCTACATTTATTTATAGAAACTTGTTTTATTTCTCAACTTGTATATTTGAACAGAAATGGTTTGTAATGTTCTTAAGCCAACTGAAGTCTGAGCTGTAAATGAGTCCCTTAATTAACTGAAGTCTGTTAAACGTGGGTCAAATTCTCCTACAGTACAATAGTGTCAGGGACTGATGAGGTCAGACGGAGGACAATTCCTAAAACTTGGCTTTTTGTCTAAATTCACAGTGAAACTTTGATTTTCACCCACTTCTGCGTTTTTAAGTTAATAGTAGYACAGAAAAGTGTGTAGTGTGTTATACCCATTCGAGGTCATATTTACTTATATTTAAGACCACAAGTGATGTCTGCATGTGTGTAAGTGTGTATACCATATGTAAGTGCTGTTACATCACGCTCTCTTCTAACTTGGCCTTGTTTTCTAGCTTTAAGCTCTTAGACCTGGACCATCTCTCTGGGGAATCTCCCCTCTAGACRCTGATGTAAGCCTAAACTTTTGCTGCCAGGATGGCTAAGTGAACAAATGGCTTTGTAGAGCAGAAAAGCTACTTTGACACCCCCGCTTTCACACCACTTTACTGCAGGCATCTGTGATTCAGTGGAGTGAATGGTCTGCTCACGGTGTACGCACTTTATCATCACACAGTAGATTTAAACAAATTACGGTGTCGACTTCAGACTAAGCAGTGGGTCATTCCACCTTGTCTTTAGCCTATGTTTGGAAATTCGTGTTTATATTTGCTCCTCAGTTGAATAAAAATGCACAAGTTCAGTTAGAATTTGATAAAATAATAATCTCAATATCTATGAGTTGATTTATTATATTTTACAGGTTATGTATAGGGTTCACAAAAACATATTGGTTTTAAACATCCAACTGAATTTAAGAGGGAAAGTTGTTATAATCTCAGGGGGATAGAGATATTTGTGAAACCTAAATTTAGAACGATTTTGAAGGAGTGGTGTAATTCAGTCCAAGGAATAAGATTATGGAATAATCTGGAGAGTGATATGAAAATGCCAGATCAATGTTTATGTTTAAGAAAATGATAAGAGTTGGTTTGTTAAAGAAATAAGAAATGGAATAATGTGTTTATCTATATGAATTGTTCACCAAGGCTTTGATGATTTTGTTTAGTTTTTTGTAAATTACTTTTGTTTTAATTTATTCTTGGGGAAAGGGGCAGATCTTATAAGATATTTTTCTTCTTTCTGCAGCCTTTCATTTTATTTGTAGGGGTGTAAGAAAATATCGATACACTGAAATATCGCGATATTTCATTTCCCGATACTGTATCGATATTCTAAAGCCCTGTATCGATTTTTWATTAAGGATTAAAATGTCAACCTTCTTGCCAGCCGTTCATTTTTATGTTGTAGTTCAGYCTCTGACCACTAGTTGGCAGCAGTGAGCCAGCCATTTGGCTCCTCTACCTCTCGTGCACCAGAGAGTAAGGGTAGCATTAGAATTGTAAGTAAACAATAGCTTTTTTTTCTTCAGTAAGAGGTTTTTATTTAATAGATATTTTGGACAAAAAATCGCAATATATCGTAATATATTGCCTTGCTTACAGTATCGCAATCTATCGGGATATATCGTATCGTGACCCCTCTGTTACGATATGTATCGTATCGCCAAATTCTTGCCAATACACAGCTCTATTTATTTGTATATGTTTTTCTTCTGCTGTGTATAGTTTTTTTAATGAAGTTATTACATTTTTTAAATAAAAAATACTGTATGCCCTGTAGTCTGGTTTCAGTTAATGAAAGCAAAAACTAACTATATAAAACCATATCCGTATTAGTATTATTATCACTTTGTGATTTTTCTACATTGGTGAAAGTTTATCTTTACATTCTGTAAAGCACAAATACCTCTTTTTATTTTTTGTTCTTGTATTTAACTCCAAACAAGTGGAAATTAAACTTAAGCTGAATATTTTTATTCTTTAAAAGAAGTCTACATTTATTACTAGTTTTCATCTATTGTTAGTCTATTAAGGCAAACTACTGTAATTGTTTTGCAATTAGTTAAGCCTCATTTTCCTGTTTTTTTTTTTTATTTATTTTTTTTGCCAATTTCTGTGGCCACAAATTCCTAATTATATCTTATCTTTCTTGCTTCTTTTTCCTTCTCAACCACCTCAAATACCTGTTTTCAGAGTATGACCTATATATGTCAGTGTGGATCTTTTCCTACATGCTAGCATAAATATGAGCGCTCTTTAAAATGCCTGGAACAAGTCTCGTTTATTGATTTAGAAGCACCTTAGACACGACTGACACAGATGTTACTTTAGTGCGATAACCTAAACAATAACACGGTTACGTGTAGGTGCTTTAAAAGCTGAATTGGTTTTAAATTGCTCTCAACTCTCCTCGTTTATTGTCCTCTGTGCAGCAGAACGAGCCCGGTGGAGAGATGAGAGCGCGTTGGAGACATTGATCACAATAGGGATAAATTCAATAGATCAGAACTCGCTGGCTGCATTTTTCTCTGCTCTCTTTTTAGAAATGTCAAACACCCACACAAGCCTCGCAGTCCCTAAACCCTCCCCTCACACCCCCCTTTGCTAACACACACACACACACACCTACCACTTTAAAGGCAACGGCACAGGCTTCAAGATCTCCAAATTATCTTCCTACACGCAGCGTTTCCTTCTCGCTCCGTGTTAATGTGCTCRGAGCAAGCGCAGCAAAAATTAAAATACAGGCTCTACTTTTTTATAAAAAAAAAAAAAGACTATCCCTGCTCTCATCCTGACCATTTAGCCCATTGTTACTGCCTTTTTTTAGTCCGTCATAAACCACTGAGAGCAGCTTGCCAACATTTCTCTTTTATTTTTCAGTTTTATTTTATTTGGGGAGATTGTGGTGTTAAGTGTGTTTTCAATTTCACCAACTAAACTTGGCTGAAGTTTTAGTGGCGCAGTTTTATATTTAGAAAACCAGTTGAATTGTTGGGCTCAGTAATTAGGTAAATTATTAGCAGCATAAGCTGATGTCGTCAGTGTTTTTAAGCTTTAAAACGTGCTCGCTAATTAATGTTGTATGATACTCTGTGTGGGAGGGTTTCATTGAAATACAAACTGACAGGAGTCTTAATTACCTGGTTTTGTTAAGGCATCTGTGGCCACATTTCATTTGCATCTTAGGCAGCTATGTTGGAGTTTAAAGGGCAAAGCTGGTGAGAAACTTCCAAAGTTTCCACCCTAAAGCCTCGAATGTTTTCTATCTTCCAGGAGCTCTGCAGAGACAAAACTCAAATCCCCTGATCCTCTTTGATTCTTTTGTTTCTCTTTTTTTTTGTTCTTTAAGACGTGGCCAATGGCAGCACTGGTTACAGGCCTCCTCCCAGGACCAAGGAGGTCGTCATCAACGGCCAGACCGTCAAGCTGAAGTACTGCTTCACGTGCAAAATCTTTAGACCGCCACGTGCCTCCCACTGCAGCCTCTGTGACAACTGTGTGGGTGAGTTGCAATGTTGTCTGGATTTCAACTGGAATTCTGAGACGTCTGCATACTTAGCGTCTATCCCAGTTCGAGGCCGGCATGGATTTTAATAATCTATTATAGATTTTGTTGTTGTTTTGTGGACTCAGGCCACTTGAGTCGCACTGATTTCAGGAGGATCGTATGTGTTCGTGATAATACGGGCCAAGCTAAATATTTAGATAATGCTGTAGACCTGCTGTGAATATTTAGTACACACCATATGTTTCGAGACTTTGGCATTTTATACAAAAGAGAAAGCAGGGAGGGTTCCAAGTAAACACAGAAATGAAGGGTTGAGTTTTCGTGCCTTCAGCTTCAAGCCGAAAAGGCTGATCGTAAAAGCTGGAGACAGAAATGTGGAAAATTTGTCTTTACCTCACTCATAGAGAGACGTCTGCATTTGAATGTCTGTCAGAAGTGGATCTGACTACATTTGAGACAAAGATGATGTAATAATCACAGGAAGAAGACGAGAAGGGGGGTAATCAGACGCAGCAGCTGCACGCTGACAGGAAGGAAGGCAGAAGCTATGAAAGACATGAAAGAGCATTTATCTGACAGCCAGTGTGAGTTGTTACCTAAAGCTGCTCTTTGTCCACATTTTAAGCCGACACGTGCTAAAACACAAACACTAAAGCTCACTTTTTATGGATATTTTACTGAGAATTTAATTTTAATTTGCTTGCACTGCAACGCTTTGGGATTATTTCCTTACTACTAAACTTAAAAAAAAAGGTTTGTCTACAAGGTACCCACACTCGATCATTGTTGTGAAAAGGAAGCCACAGATGGGAGGGAGATAAAAAAGGAGAAACTGACACGTAGTTAGACTCTGTCGTGCAGGTGGGTGGGAGTAAAATCTGCTGATAATTTTAGGTTGTAACTGTCGTCAGTTTCGGTGATCCTTTATAACATAAAATAATGAATCTGTGAGCCGTCCTTATGTGTATAAACAGGCAAACATTTTCACAGTTTGTGCTACTTTTTAACTAAATTTATGGCTTAATGAATCACTTTGTTCCTATTTTACACATTACCACCTAAATGGGAACTAATTTAAATCTGAATATAAGTAGTGACTTTAATTTTAACTTCCCACTGCATGGTTGTCTTCTTTAATGATCAACATTAACAATAAACTGGTAGATGTGTGCTTTTAAAAAGGGAAGTGGGATTATAATGACAATGGAAAAAAAACTGTTATCCTGTCTCCGTCGTCCTTTGGTGCTGGAAAAGCCAGAGGGATAATATGCTCTTAAATAAGTTAGRAGGCAGAATGGATAGGCCTTCCCTGGTGGCTGTGAAGAGGAGGAGTATAGTGGAGTCACTTCCTTTTTATTAAGACTGTCATCCCCTTAGGAATGATGGAAGAAGCTTGTGAAAGAGCAGAAATATGACACACACACAGCATCTCCATCCCTCGCAGTCGTCTCACTCTGTTAGGAAAAAGATGGACTGACTGTTTTAAGTCGAGCTGTAAGTAATCAAGAATACCACAGCTTAGACACTGGAGGCTTGGGATTCAATAATTGATTTTAATGGTAATTTTTTTGCTCTTTGCTGTTTTTTATTTTATTTTTTTTCCCTCTTTGGTGTGCTCAGTTTGAGAAGATTCAAAGCTTTAATGATTGCCTCGGGGGAATTATGTTGTTACATAAGCAGAAAATAAAAGCTTTAGGATTATTGGCACATAAATATGGATATAGTGCATCTTTATGAAGCCGTTTTTGAGTTTATTTAATTTGAAAACCATCATCAGAGGGATAATGCCACTGAGCATTTTATTCCCACCACTTTTAACTCCGAACATAAGAGTACAGACGTGCATGAATTTGTGATCGTTTTTTTGTGTTGAAGACTTCCTGTTTAAGACCTCTGTTAGACTTCTGTGTTAATCAAGTTTGACTAGTAGTACCTTTCCTCTCCCTCGGGCTGGATGCTCCGGTTCCCAGACACATTTCAACAAGGCATTGATCAGTGGAGACAAAAGCGGGTCATTTCAACTCACTAAGCTAATAATGGCTCTAATTAATTAGTTAAGTAGCTACCACTGTGCGCAGCAAGTAGTCCATACTCGAAGATTAGACTGCAGCACAGAGACTGATGGAATGATGACACTAGTTGTTTTTTTTCTCACGCAGAGCAGTCGGTGAAATAAGTGAAATAAAGCTGTTTGCACTTTTTCTGAATAAAATATTACTGGCTCGTTTAAATGAGGGAGAATTGTAAGTCACTTCATATCTCAAGTAGATGAACACTTGGAGCTGCGTTCACTGACATTTTATTCGCAGTACATTCAAATGTTTGCCAGGTTTGAAGGGAAGTATTTTTAATCGTGCAACGTGATAACGGTTCAGTTACAGTGTCCTGAAGTGGCTGAGAGGCTTTTATCTGTTTTAAAACACTTCTCTACCTCATTTCTTATGGTGCGTTCACACCGAACGCGATTTCAGCTTCAAAATCGCAGCCAACGCTGAAGTTTGAAGCTTGTGCACTTTGAGGTCAGACGCAGGACAGCTCTTGAAGCGCTTCACGGCAACAGCCTCCCCGCCCCTCCCTCCTCTGTCAGACGAGGAAGTGGCTTTGCTTTATTTACAGAGAGCAAGAGCATGTCACGTTCATCAGATAATTAATTCATAATTAATTCACCAGATAATTCAGAGTAGAGGCTCACAGCTCGCTTTCAGGACTATTTTTCCAGTCTGATGAGTCGCTGTGACGCATTGCTGCGGATCAGGACACGACTGCAGGCACTCATTTCAGCTAAAGCGCTCCTCTCCATCTGTTTCAGGTTAGTGGACATCATTCAGTAAACTGTCCCGTCAGGAAATATGTCACTACGTCACACAGTGGAGTCTCTCTGATTGGTTGACGCTGCGCGTCGAGCTGCAAAAGTTCAGATTTTCTAACTTCAGCGATTTGCGCCTCAGCGCGTCGAACGCTCAGATCGTTCAAATCATTCAAATCGYGCTGCTCTAATCGCGCTTGAGGCGCCGCAGMACTTCCCGACGYTGCTTGAAGCGCGTCCACCATAGACTTTGYATGTAAACCTGCTGCTCCTGACGTTGAAATCGCGTTCGGTGTGAACGCACCATTAGACTTGATCAAATGTTGTTCTGTTTTTTTAAGCCGTGACAGCAGATCGTCTTTTCTGTTTTTGTAAGTTTTATAAAAAAATTGACTGTGTGAAATATTTTTTAGTTTGTTTTGACAAAACCAAGAGCGACACTTCCCCTTTTCACTAATCTCCATCATTTTCAGTTCGYACTGAAGTAACCAGGTTATGTTTTTAAAGATTTTATTGTTTTATTTAGTCAATAAAGTCTGGCTCGTGGCTGAAAATGTGCTTGATGAATATAATTTCTCAGCCTGTGTAATCTAATCACGCACCACCTTCGGACAGGGGAAATGTTTTTGTTGCAGTGAGAAGAAATCAAGAATTTTTTTTTTGTGTCCTCCTATCTGAACATGTCCCTCCTTCTCTCCGTTTCCATTCAGAGCGTTTTGACCACCACTGTCCCTGGGTGGGGAACTGTGTGGGAAGGAGGAACTACCGTTTCTTCTACATGTTCATCCTCTCGCTCTCCTTCCTCACAATCTTCATCTTCGCCTTTGTTATCACACACATCATTTTACGTAAGTAGCTTCTCTGGCGTGCTGCAGACACACACTCCTCCTGGCTGCGTTCTTGGTGTGCTCCAAGCCAGCAGGTTGTAAGTGGGCGGTGTGAAACGCTGCAGAGTTCTGGCTGGGTACCATCTTTCCAGCTGGGAGCAGGCAGCGGACCACTCAGCTCGACATTTTTATGTTTAAATAATAGTTTGTGGGGAAAGTGTTGAAGTAGGGGCAGTAATGGGTTCAATAAGACTATTAAAAAGCCATTTTTTAAACTGTATTTATTACAATCTGTATTTTTCAGTTTTCATTTCAGTACAAAAAGTAATAAAATCTAATATGTTAGACAGTGTGCACATTGATGGAAACTATCAAAGGTCTAATGAAAACTCTTTCTGTTCACAGTCTCACATCAAAGTGGGTTCCTCAACGCACTTAAATATAGTCCTGCAAGATATCCTTTTAYTTGAACACTTGGTGGTAATTAATACTGAATGCAAGCTTTAAAGAATCATGATTTTTTTTTATACGTATATAGTCTCTTTGTTGTTCTTTTTATATTTGGTATTTTTATTTATAAACTTTCATTGTGAATTTTCTAATATTTCTAATTAAAGGAGACATATCCTGCTTTTAAAGCCTTCTTTTCCACATTTAAATCATTCAGTTAGGGTCTATATAAAGTGGAACTGCAATGCTTTGGAGTGTATTCCTCCTTACTGTAACTCAACAAGCCCCTCTCAGCAGTTTTCTGAGGCGTTTCTCAGATCAACTCGTTTTGACACTGTCTCTTAACGGAATATAAAGATATCTACACACCACAGGTAGAAACTACAGTCAAAATTTCCACAAAACAAAAAGCATTTAATGGCTAAAAAAGTGGATTTTGCGTATGTTGTAGATGTTTTTTGCACTAAAGATAATCTTGAACGCGGGAATAAAAATACGGTTTGTTTGGGATGTTGAAGCAGTTCTGTAGATCCTGCCGAGTGTGTAATTCAGTTGAGAAGATTTTAAATGCATTAGAAAAAGGCTCATGTCTGTCATTCTGCACAGTGAAGCAGGAAAAGTGACTGATGCGTGCTTCTGCTCTCCCAGCACTTCAGATAATCTGTTTAACATCAGATCAGCTAACACCGCCACATCACAGAATACAATCCTGAACATCTCCTTTTCACTGAGGGAGGAGCGTGGCATCTGTTTTATTTGTTAGGTTGAGTTTATTAAAAGGCTGCTCTGTTTGTCACTACCATGTTAAACAGTCCACAGCCTCATTTTGTAATAACGACTCACAGAAGCTGCAAACCAGTTAGTGAAAATGTGTTTAATTGGTATTTTCATTTCACCACATTATTGTAATAGTTTTGAATTCTCTTGCTAATGATCCTGTTTTCTATTCTTGTACTGCCTCTAGCTGTTACCAAAATACTACAAAGCAGCTAGTTGTCACAACACCAGAGACAAACTTTTAGAYGGGGGTAAATACGCTCAATTTAAATGTTTTATTCTGTCTCTGCAGCAGAGTTTACTTTCCAGCCCTTCATCCTGAGCTCCTAGCTGTAAACTGTTGGCATCATTAAAATTCTGCAGGCTGTTTCTTGGAAGGTTTGGCAGAGAAAACTCAGCCASTGTTTTTGTTTTTAATTATTATTTTTTTATCAAAAGAATCCAAAAATACTCCCAGACTTTTTATGGCGGTCTATTAAGACAGGTGCTTCAGAATATTTTGATGCCTTCTTTCATTTGAAAAGTACTGCATGCATCTGAACCCCGATTCAGAGCCAGAAATGAGCCACTCCTAATGATACTTGATRCACAATGAAAGTTTGTGTGTGTCACTGTCAACTTTTACTGTTATAGAAATATGTGGCWAGCCTGCGTCTCGCAAAACTTTATTAAAGAAAAAAAAACCCTTGAGTCTTCCTACTCGAATGATGAGATGAATTGTCACTGAAATGAAGATATGGTGAAAGAAAGTGAAAATAAATGAGTCTTTAGTTGATTTTTCTAAGTGCAGTTGAAGCACATCTTCAAGGCAATAAATAGTGAGTTAGTTGGGTTTTTGTGTCATTTTAAGAACAAAACCCTCCTTTGGAAACTGTATCCTGGGGTGCTGCACATGTGCTGAGGGTCACTGTAGTTTGTTTCTATAAATGTAAAAGCATTCATGTTGACTGGTGCTGGCGCTTTTGGAGCTTTATACGGATGAGAGGAAATGACTCGGCAGTCCCAGCCAAATGTACTGGGAAGTATTGGCATAAGGACGACAGCCCTCAGGCTGTAGGTCAGTATACGATCTGCTGCAGCTGCATTTTTTAGTGTTTGTGCTGGCTCTATATGGATCTGTTGTGTGTGTCTGTACTTAAGCTTTCATGTTGCTTTGAGTTTATACAAATACATTTTTCCTTAACCTTATGGTGTTACTGTGCTGGAGGTGGTGGTGTGTTTCTTCTCTGTCTGGTCAATAGTGGGCCTCTCAGGTTTCCATACCTACCTGATCGGCTCCAATCAGACCACCAATGAAGATGTAAGTATCAACATGAAATACTTTACACCAGACACTTTGTCCTTTTTATAGTGGATATGTTCAAGTGTATTACAAAGTTTAAATAACGGAGTATTTAATTTTTTATTTTGTGTCATCTGTTCAGTAAGAGTAGCACTTTGATGCAACTGTTGAACCCATGTAGATTTTATGTACGAAAACTTATCATGGCTAAGTATTAAAGATAGACATATATGCAACATTGCCTCATTTTTACATAAAATTTTTATATCCCATAAACCTTATGGCCTTTTTTCTAAATTAATGCCACCTCTGTCTGACGTAAGCGTCTGACTTCATATTACCTGTGCCGAGAGAGATGGACTTTAAAACACATTAATGTGTAAAGCTGTAAATCACAGTATTATGTTGCCCTTATAATTATAAGTATCCAGAATTATGGTATATTAAAAAATATCTTAAATTAAATTAAATTTCAGTGCCCTTTGTTTCAATGTGATGTGTTTAAATAGACAAAACAAAAACCTTTTTTTTAATGAAATGAAACCCAGCCCTTTAATGGGACTCTATAAGGAAAGAGAAGTGCATTGATGCCAACTCCTAACATGTGCTCACAGYGAGCTCTGGATTCTGTTCAAGTCAGCCAGACTGGAGAAAAATTCATGTCAGTACGGCCAGTTCGTTAGCGCATGTTGCTAATAACACCAGAGTCATGGATCAAAACCGTGTAGGCTACTAACACGTTAGCTCATTGGTTGTCAACAAGCGGTCCCCGGGCCAGATCTGAATCATATATTAATTCCATTCATCTTATATATACAGTAACTGGACCTCTGCTCAGAGTGGTACTGATAGCAGTGTGTTAGCCAATCACAGTGCTAGCTCAAGGCATGTGACCAGTTCTGTAAGCAGTCATAGTGGTGCCATGTTGTGGCTGGAGCTGCTTAGCTCAGCAGGATGAGAGATGCACAAAAGAACAGAGATTCCAAGTTTGAATCCCACATAAGACGTATTTATTCTTAATTATACTGACGTCACTTTAGCATCAGCAACCAGGTTAAGACGTCTACAGAGGCCAAGTTTAGTTGGTTTAACGTGTAGATGTTTCTGGATATTTTAGAGGTTTACGTCTTTTTCCACACACACAATGTTCACTCCAGTTGTTTCACTCAAAATTTTTGTTTTATTTAACATTTATCATCTTTACATTTTTCATCCTTGTCATTCATGTACAGTGATTTACAAAGTCACAACAATAATTTCTCTGTCAAAAGAAAAAAATAGAAATCTGATTAAACACTTTTGAAAAATAAGAGCGTGACACATACCATCTTTTTTATGACAAAAGAATTAGAAATAAATTAAACAAATCTCTTATAATTAGCAGAAATGTGGCTATTATTCAAAGGCTGAGTGCTCAGAAAGATTCTGGCCATGGATGGCCTCCGYATCACTCCAGCTTGTAACTAAAGTTGTCATCCTTTTCAGATTAAAGGTTCGTGGTCTTCTAAAAGAGGGAAAGACAACTATAACCCTTACAGCTATGGGAATATGTTCACCAACTGCTGTGCAGCACTTTGTGGACCCCTGCCACCAAGGTATGACGAGTGTGTCGAGGTGTTTTTATGTGGTTATTWATATATTTTCTGATGCCTGATTGGTTGCATGTATGATACATATACAATGGTCCAAAGGAAAAAAAACATCAGCATGTAGAAACTGAGAATACATTCATTTTTTGTCTTTTTCTTTAAAGAAAACACGAAATAGAAAGCTGTCGCTTGAAACTTTTGCACAGCCCCATCATTTCTCTTCCCTTTCCACCTTCACTGAAATACCGTCGTTCATCTTTTTATTCTCCTTCTAATTGTAATTGCTGTTTTCTCTAAAGGCCAAAACAGTTAAGTCTCTGTTTGATGTGAGGAACTTCTTTGAAATGAGCCTGCCTGCAGCCTTTTTTCTAAACATAGCTGAGACACTGCAGTAGTGTGAAGAATTACAAGCCTGTTTTTAACTGAACCCAACATCAAAGTTGGTTAGATATTACATTTCATCCTTTTTTCTGCTCATACACAGGCCARCGGTCACATCTACATTCTCCTCTTCATGTGACTGTATATATTATGTATTATATCACTTCAGCCTTTTACCCAACAATCCTGTGTAACTAATTCTTGTTGGTTTTCCTCTTTCCTGGCCACTGTACTCACTCCTGAGACACTCGACTTRAGCTTTTTCTTAACTTTTAAAGCTCTCAGCACTTTTGCCCTTTAACTGTAAAGTAAATGTAATCAAACGTGCTCTCATACACTCTTAAGGAACACTAAAGGTGCCCACACATTTATGCAAAGCGTGACAAAAGCTACGTTGAAGGCTTTTAGTAACTTTCTTATTAGGCCATTTGGCTGTTCTGTGCTTTGGCCTTCATATGCAATAAATCTCTGGTAATGATTTCAGTGGGTGGTGAGGAGAGCGTTCGGTGCACAGGTGGCTGCCATCTGGGCATCTGTGTTTGTGTTTGCAGCCACAGGCATCGCACAGCTGGATCCGGCAATAATGAAGGAATGTTTCACTTCACCTATAGGCCAAGCAAGCAACACAAACACACACACCCACACAGGCCTTTTGAGACTTTGACTAATATTTTTAATGCATCAAATGCATGTTTGAATGCCGGTTTCCTCCAAACGGTCTGCAGAGTTTCTGTTCATTACCAGCAACACAGGATCTAGACTTGTGGAGTTTATCGTTAAGAAACCCGTACAGCTCAGTCCCACTGGAGCTCACTGTCAACACACTTTCTGTTAAATGATTACCCTGTTTATGCTGTTTAACACTTCAGCTGACTCTGTGCATGTGTGGCAGATTATGGCTCTGTATCTGATCAGCCTCTCTCTGGCTGATAAATGGTCTTGGTGGCTGCATGTAGCCCATTAGCTCTAACATGTGCACATGCATAGCAGAGTTCAGCAGGTTGTTGTCCAAGCAGCTGCGTCAGGCCTCTGCAGCATTAACAATGGGACAGAAACAATAATTCACACTGCTGCTCTGCTGCAGGACCGCCGTGATTTATCATCCAGTTCTGATTTTATGGCTTTGTGCGGGCAGAGTCTGCGCTTGCTTTATCGCCCTCATGGTCAAAACTTGAAAAATAGGGTTTGTATACAGCTTTGTGCATCAAAGTACTTACAAAAAATATTATAATCTGCCTACCATTAGTCCTATGGATGCATTTGTTTGTGGTTTACTGTCAAAATCCACGTTTTGGAAGATTTTATTTTAGATTTATAAGTCACAACATTTGCTGTAAAATATCTGTTAATAAAACCTTTGTTCATTTTACTTTTTTCTTCTCAAGTCTCATTGACAGACGAGGTTTTGTGGAATCAGATGCTCCACAGCTGGCACAGCCGACCAACGGCATGACCATGTATGGCGCCACCCAGTCCCAGCAAAGCCACATGGTAAGACCCTGAAACTCCACTCACTTCTTTAAGATTTAAGAGTTTGTAAAAGTAAAAAATACAGACTTGAGCTTTTAATATTAGTGAAGCTGTTTATACGGTTTGTTTACTTTGTCACAAMTATAACAGGCGAGGAGCGAGGGCATCGTTTTCCGGTCTTGCCTGAAACCGTCAGTTTTCAGTCAGTAATTTTCCACTCAAGAGCACAGAAAATGAAGTAAATTGTTGAAGAGTTTTAGGTTTGTCACCATCAGCTTTTTATCCAAAAGCTCACTGTGGCTGCAGCTGAGGAGGAGAAATCACTTTTCTGGTTTTGAAAACACATTTTGAAATGATCACTGCCAACACTGCCTTATATAACTACCCCAGTTAAACTATTGTTGCTTCAAAAACAAGAATCCAGGCAGATATTTGTGAAACACAGTAAGAAAACTTGTTGTGTGTACTCTGTTAAAATAATAGTGTAAAAACACTTTCTGGTACAATTTCTTTCTAAGTGAAAATGCAGATATGAAGAAAGGTTGAATTTTCTGAAAGTYGTTGAGTTCACATACAGGAACACAAAAGTTGATCAAGTCAGTTTGAGGGATTGACTCTATAAACGTGATGTGTGGTTGTTTATGATTGTTGGATTAGAGATCAAAGCAACAGTAAATATTTCTGCAGAGTTAAATTGGTCTTAGCCTGGAGCCCTAAACTCAAATGAGGTTAAACTTTTTATTTTTTGTAATTCCTCACTTTTACATTTTCTATTTCACATAATCCCACTGAATAACAAACCCYACACATCCACGTTGGAAAGTAAAACCTGTTAGTGTTTCTCACTGGATTTAAACTGATATAAATGGATCTGACTGGCAAAAAGAGCTAAGATTTCAGCTGCTGTGAGCCGCTCAGTGTTGCCTTTTAAATTAGGTCAACAAATGCAGTGTCAGAGTTGTGATTTTTATTTACTTGAAGTTTTCTTCTAATAAGAATCTGAAATATGAAAGGCTTTTGTTTGTTTTGGCATCATGCTGATAATCTTCATATTACAGCAGGCYTAAGTAAGACTGAGTAGAAATGAGGGCTCATTTATATTCAGATTTGTAATCAGAGAGAAAACCAATAAGTAAACAGTATTATTCTTTGGTGTCAAGCTGTCTCTTTCAGTCTAGAATAATATAGCATCATGTTGACCTCAGTGTTCCTGTGGCGTTTGAATAAATGTGACCAACCTTTTGTTGTTCAGTGTTTACACACTGTACATGCCAGATTTACTGCTGCACATATTTCCCTGATGCCCTCTGCCTCCGTCTAGTTTGCACCCAAACTTGACCTCATTCTCCTTGTTCTAACGTAAATGTCAAACATGAATGCAACCTGTCAAAGTCCTAAATCAACCTGTAAACCACATCAGTGTTTTCCTACATTAGCACGATCAGTAATTATTGCCACTTGTTTGTGGTAGCTGCTGTGATTTACGGCTAAAGTTGTTCTGGCTGYTGATCTGCAGACAGTGTCAGCTGTATGTTTAGTATTTTTTGTTAAACGTAGGGTATAATTTGTTAGTAAGACATCAGGATTACTCCAACGCCATGGAGAGATTATCAGGTGATCAGAYCCAGTCTGAAGTGGAGGACTTGGATCATTCTTGTCTGATGTAGAGGAAAAAGATATTTGCTTTAACATTATTCACATAAATATGAAGAGATTGTTTTGCACCCTCTGTTACATAAGGAGGCACGTCGGCCCAAGTAAACACACGTTTGTATCTGCAGTTACATTGAGTTGTCGCACATAAAGCCTCCCATTTTTAGCATCGAGCTGGCAAACGCTCAGACATTTACGTTTGTTGTTGGGCGATGAACAAAAAAATCTGATTCCTTGTGATGTGTTTTTGTCTGTGATGCAGCTTGGGGGTGAAAAAATCACAGCTCGCAGCCCCTTTTTTGAGCTGTTGCCATGGTAACAGTGTGTGACACGAAGTCACGTTACACCTTGATAACAAACCCCTCCGTTTTGGATTTGGTTCGATGGTGGGGTGGGGTGAGCACGTTTCTGTATGGCCTTACCTCCAGTTTGATGTAAAAATCTAAGTAATTCAACAATGCTCTGAGTTACAGGCAGATGTTTGTTTTTGTTGAACACAACCAGTTCAACCTGTAAATATTTCTAGATTGGCCATTTACTTCCTTCCTCTCAACCCCAGGGGRCAACCAGTTTCCTTATTGATGATTACACGTCCACAACCCAGTCAGGTTTGCTGCCCACTCTTACTTATTTTAGCTACATGACGGTTGGATTTCATTTTCTTTACCAAAAAATATATATATATCAGACTTCTGAAGTCCCTGTCTGGTTTATGTTGTCAGGAATAACACTGTTCTGTTGAGTTGTTAGCTTTAGCTCGTCTTAAGCCTTGTTTAAACATAAATAAGATAATATTGTTTTTGCCCTGACCTTGACACAAATCAGAACTCCTGAGCACTCGTCACACAGTGATGAGTGCTAATCACATCTAACCGTTCAGCTTCACTTGCTACTTGATTTTTTTTTTAATCCTTGTGATTTTCTGCAGTTTCTGAGTCAGTTTAGTTGTTTATTAAAAAACAAGAGCTCCAGGATGTAGAAAGAAAGCGAGTGATATGCTTTTACTGTCTAGTTGGTGCTTTTTGTAAACGTGGCAGTGTCCGAGGCTTCTGTGTCATGTTGGTCTCGTCGTAAAGGTGATAAGAGCAGCTGATATGAAGGGAGATTATATATATATCACACACAAACACTCACACATAACCTGTATCTAAAGGTAGTTTAGCTTCTCTTCAAGTCACATCTGTAATCTGCTCTTTTTAGGTCAGTGACAATGAGGAGAAGAGGTGAGATGTCAGTCAAACTTTGGAGATGCTGTGGGCTGAACTGAGGGCATCATCTGTCTTATTCAAACTTTCCTCCTCTAACTGGTCTTTCAGWCATTTTTGTGGTGATAAAGGGAACCTTCCTGTAGCTAAAGTGACCCTGTAACCCTGCTCCAGTGTTACACATGCATTTCTATTCTAAGGCAATGCAATAGAGATCAACAGGCCATGAAGCCAGACTTCACTAGCTTTGTGTTTTCAGCTCTGTTGACTTCAGCTCAATCTTTACTGCAGCAAAGACACAAGCTGGTGTGGGTTCTTTTTGTATTCTAACAAGGGTACTAACATCTATTTCTCTTTTTCTCCCTCTTATCCAATCACCTGCCCCTCCTCTGTCCTCACTGCTGCCCTCTCTTTCATTTCCTTCCTTCCCCTCTGGCACTTTATTTCTCTTTGCTTTTCACATACTGTTCTTTGTCCTGCTTTTGGTGTTTTTTTTTTTCTCAGTGTGACCAAGACCAGTGCATTCAGAGCACCAAATTCGTTTTGCAGGCCGCCACCACACCCCTCCTCCAGCAGCAGAGCAGCGAGCCAGTCATCCTAACTGCCTCCCCTGAAAATGGAACGTCTCTACCCGGCCGGGCCTCCCTCGCCCTGGGCGGACCCTGCACCTCGCTCCCGCTCGGCCAGCCCACCCCGCCGACGTCCACCCCCAGCCTCAGCTGCCACGATGTCACKGACATGCTGCCAGTCCACGGACACAGCCACACACTCAACCACAGCCACCCCCTCCAGGAGCAGGTGGCTCACCACCACTATCTCACCCCGGAGGAAGTGCCCTCGCCGCCGGGTATGCTCCCCTGCAGCAGCCCGCTGGGCCACAGCCACGCCGTGCAGGCCGGTTTCTACAACCCGGCCAGCCAAGACTCACTACACGAAGACTCAGTCAGAGGCCTGGTGAAGCTCAGCTCTGTCTGACAGTGGGATTTATAAACTCTTCAGTCAGCTGACTCCCCCTGAGTCACAGCTGCAAGACAAGTTGTTGTCAACCATTGTGTTGCTGGAACTGTGAGAGACAGTTCCTGGGAATTATGTCTCAGATGCGTTCTTTTTAACGCCAAGGAAAAACTAATTTTTTTTTTTTTGCTCTGGGAAATTGCAATATGGAGTTTGCTTTTTCAAGAGGTGCCCACGTCTGTAAGCCATTTCCAGAAATAAACTGTCACCATTTCAGGTCAGAAAGGCTGCATTTTTTGTTAATGAGCAGCAGGCTTGACAGAATTTTGTGGGGTGAAAAAGTTTTAAGGTTACTTGCCTGTTTCTGACTGGGCTCTCTCTCTCTCTGCCTTTTTTTGGACATTCTCAGCAGTGCAATGATTCATGTCCTGCATCATGCATATCATCCTGCTTTTTTCTATGTAAAGGAGAAATCAAAGACTTTTGTTGTATCATGGTTATTACAACACCTACAAATTATATTTCCTGTGGATATTAATAAAACACCAACTTTTTATCCGATTTCAGTGCATTTCTATGGAAGGATTAATGTGTGATTTGGGGAGTCATAAGACTATGTTTCCTTTAAAGTTTATCTTGTGACCACTGCCTTTGGTAACAGATTGAAAACAATCCTGCCTAATGAAGATTTCTGGATGCACAAACAAAACACTGTCCTGAAAGCCCTGAAGTTTTGAGAGATGTGCTAAAAGCAGCAGAGTTTCTAGTTATTTCTGTCATGTGGAGGTGCCTCAGGTTATTTATTCTTCTGCCATCTTGTGGTTGAGATGAATTACTGCAGGCAGCGGAGCCATTTGTTTAAATCAAGACTTAATTTGTTTTTCTATAATTCAGAGTAGTTTCGTAAAAAGACTCAGTGAAAATCTAACCCTTATATAAAAGGATGTTTGTGCTGCAATGCAGAACTAAAGTCATAAGTTGGATACAAAACTTTTCAGTGGATATAGTAACATTTATTATATCTTATCTAATACAGAGCCCAGAATTATTTTTTTGATTTTAACCATCCCTGCCTCAGTCTAGGAAACCAATGAGATGAGAAATGTCTACATAGAACGTCTGGAAATGTTGTATTATGGTATGTAATTGTCCTGGAATATTATTGTACTTGATCTTTGCTGCAACTTTACATGAGAAACTTACAAATAAAAAACTAGATGTGAACATTTCAAAATTAAATTTCAGGAAAAATTAGWACAAATTATGTTTATGATGCAAAAAAATTTAAACTCTACTATACAAACATTTCATATTGGACTTTCATCCAATGATACTTAATTACTGACTCACTTATAATTAACATACAAGTGTAGCCAATAAGTGATTAAATACCTGTACAATAATGTGCAAATAATTTTTTTATTTTATGCTTCTAAAAGTTGGACTTCTGTGTAATCTTTTTTAGGTCTTTCAAAGTACCTTTTTGGACTTTGGTTGCTTTTTTTAAAAACACATTTTCTGAACTTTTTGTTCAAAATTGGGAGAAATGATTTCAACATTTGATGCAGGACATTAAAACTGCATCACCCTTCATTTGATCTGCTGCTGGAGGACAAGTTTTCAGTTTCTAGTTTTTTGGGTAATCACTGTGTGCTAAAAGTACCATTTTGTGTCAAATTATAGTATTTTTTTCCCACAGATTCATCTACAGAAGTTAGAACAAACAGTGATGTGTTAACAACACCAGGTTCATCCCTTGAGTTTTTATTTTATTTTATTTTAACGTTATTTATTGAGATCACAGATCTCTTTTTCAAGGGAGGCCTGAAGCCAACCTATTGTACGTGTTTTTGAGGTGTGGGGGAAACCGGAGTACCCGGAGAAAACCCACACAAGCACAAGGAGAACATGTAAACTCCACACAGAAGACCCCAGGTCTAAACTGGGGATTGAGCCCAGTACCCGTTTGTATTGGTTATCAAACAAGTAAAGCAACCAAAGCTGAAAGAAAAAAAATGAAAGACCTTCAGAAATGTTGATAAAAACCATTTTAAAAGATTACATAAAAGTCTAAATTCTTGGAAGCATAATATAAAGAAATGATGGGGTGGCTCAAGATTTTTGCACAGCTCTGTATATTGTTTTATTTACAAAAACTGTAAGCCAGCAAAGATGCTCCGAATAAACCGTTGTAAACAACCCAGGGACACCAAACTTGTAGGTGTAAAGAGTCATGGAGGCTCACAGTTTGATGTTTTCTGTCATGCATCTGCCCTTTGCTTCAGGCAACAAAAACAAACCACATCGTTCAAGTCCTTCAGTCACTAAATCAGCTTCAAATCCAGTGAAATACTAACCTGACCTGAAACTCAAGCCTGACGTCTGCGCAGACATCTCCAGCACCCATCGTCTGGCTCACTCTGAAGARGCTAATTCAGCAGGTTGGGTTTTTCTGGGAGCTCAGAGTCACCACAGTTTCACATCAATGAGCTCCAGGTCTCCCATGATCTCCAGCTGGTCGACGCTGCTCAGGTCCTGCACCCGGTGCCGGAACTCAAACAAGTGGGATCCATTCACAGCCAGCTTGAACTGGTGGGGCTGAATGAGGAGGAGGATCTGAGGAGAGGAGAGGGAATGCTGAACCACTCCAGAATACACAAATAAAACCTTTTAAAGTTTTCTAACCTCAAAGTATTCCCCTGATGAAAAGGGAAAGACGGGTTGTTCCCGCTCCTCTTGGCCCCAGGATTCATCCAGGTACGAGTTCCTGATGAACACGCCCGACTTCATTCGAGGGTTCAGGTGGAGAGCGATGTTCTGCGTTTTACTGTTGCAGAGGTTTACAGTAAAACTGGAACAAACAGATTTAWRRYAGATTAAAAACATTTCAGTATTCTRCAGAGTCCTTAAGGGAACACWGSTGAAAAGTATTTAGTGTGCACCACAAGAACCAATTCAGAAGAATATAATTACAACCACAGGTCAACTGACATGAGGTTTTCTATGGCTGATATCGAGCTTTGTAAATCAGCGCAGCTGATCTACAATAAGACAATTATTGTATAATTAGTAAATATGTATTTTATTTGTAAACTTAAAAATAGTGTTCTAGCATAAAGGAAAAAAAACTGAACTGCAGCGAGCATCTGCTGTTGAAWCTTCCACAAGCATGGCTGACTCAAGATTTTTAAAATCTTGTCAACTATTCAGTCCCTTTTTATATCAAACTTCCTAAAAACACAAAATATTCCTTGTAATCTCATTGAATACCTCAGTGCAGATGAGATAAATTATATTAAAACATAGCTCAAATAAATCTCACTTCACTTTCTACATCAAAACCAGACAAACTACACTGATATTCTCGTGTTCATAACAAAAAGACAGTTCTTGCCTGCACTACTTTACTGTGTGCGCCAGAAAACTTCTTTCCACATTCATTTTGTAGTATCAGAAAAGCAGTAAAAACAAAACTGACAAAATAATASTGAAAAATAAATACATTTAAAAACAGCCTCAGGTTTTGATTCCACATAACTGTTAAAGATTTGGTTTTTGGATAATGAAAAGCACTTTTTATTTAAAAAAAAAATCTATACCGGTAGTTTAAAACAGCCTGAGATCACAGTTTTCACATCATTGTCATATGAAACTTTTCAGTTACCATCCATCAGGAGAGAAATGTTACATAACAGATCATTTAGAACAACTTACTGATTCTAAATTACTTATTTGATAATAAAATTCCCCTYAAAGTTAAAAAAGGCACCAGATGTCATGTGTATTGATTTTATTATTTACCTGTGAGGGTACATGCTGACCTGCCCTTTTATTGTGATGTGCTGTCCTGGGCTCAGTCCTTTCAGTATACTGCCTTTGTAAGGAACACTCTGAAATGACATCAACAGTCACCACTGCTCTGTTTCCTCACTGAATCTGTTTTATCAGAGCATGTATAACTTTCATTTTCAGCAGGAAGTTATAAAGATGACATAAATAATGAGACTGACAAATTTTTTTTTTGTTTTTTGTTCCTGGATTTTAGTGATTTAACAGACAAGTGAATGTTGAATAATCAGCTTCTGGTTCATAAACCCGTAAATATTTATWAGTGATCCAGTTTATATGGCATCACATGACACCAAGAACATCCTGAGAAAAACACTTTCCTAAAAATATGGTACAAAAAAAACTCACCAAGTCCCCAGATTCTGAATATATTGCCTGAAGAAAGAAAGAAAAAAGATTCAGAAGTCATTCCAAARTCTGTGAAATAAACAAAACTAATATTTTTAAGAACTGATAATTGCCTGCCGGCTTGCATGACGAAGGTTTACACAAATACCTCCTGCAGGATGTTAGCACTCTTAGCTGGAGATGACTCTCAGCTGCCACACTTTATTTTAAGCCAATATCTGTAAAAGTGATGTCATTCTTTTTGTGTTTGCTCGTGTCATTTAGTTTGAACTGGGCTAATCAGTTGTAGATACGTCTTAAGACTGCGTAATGACAGTTTTATTAAGAATCAGCAACTCCCTCCTGAGATATTTAGCAGACAATAACAGGATCGTGCAGCTTTAACGGGCAGCAGGTGAAATGGGAATCCACTTACTGAGTTTGGGATGTAGCCAACAGCGTGGACTTGGACGTTCCCAGAAATGGAAAACGTGTCCACCCTGTTCAGAGGAACTCTGTGTTTGTAGTCCAGCAGGTGAGTTCCGTTTACTGCCACCTACAGGTGAAAAAAGCTGTRGTTGTATTAAGCAGGTCATTGATTCTTGACGCTGAGGACGGGCTCGTGTACCTTGAAGCAGTCTTTGTGCACCAGGATGATGGTCTCAAAGGGGGCGCCTCGTTTGTAGGGCAGCTGGTGGAGCGTCTCTTCTCGACCCCAGCTCTCCCGCTGCAGAGTGTTGCACACCACACAGGGAGGGTCGTTGAAGCGGGGGCTGAAGTGGAACGCGACATCRGAGCGAGGTTTGGTGCTRCAGCCACTCGACAGATCAACCTGAAACCTGCAGGGAGGGTGAACACAGGAGGGCTTACAGCTCAATAACAAACTGACACCCTGATACTGAATCACATGCATACATTAAAGCTTACTGAACTCAGGGGTGTCACTAGGTTTTAAGGACAAGGGGGGCTTAGCCCCCAGGAGACGCACAGAATTTTTGTATATTATATATTTGTATTTTTTGTGTGTGTGTGTGTGTGTATATATATATATATATATAT